AATCTTATAACTGCACTCATAGAATCCATGACTCCTGCTCATTCTGCCGTCCTCAGAAGTAGCAGTGATACGCATATCCACTTTAGACTTAGTGGAGATGAGTCTTCTTTTGCTCGCCGATGGTGAAAAATAAAATTTATCATAGAAGAGAGTGAACATGTAGATGATTCCAATTGTTGCCTTTTTGTTACATTTCCACTTAATTCCTGCTTTTATGAAGTTGATTGTTTGGGGGAAGCGGCTGATTAGATGCGTGTGCCGGTGTGGGTAAATGTATTTTTATTATTGTTACTGTCCCCTTCTTTTCTTTCTGTGTATGTATGGGACAACAAGGGAGAGTTTGTTTTTCATTTCTTTTTTTACATGGCCGGAAGACTTATTTAGAGAGACGGAAGGACGCCTATTGTCTTTTTTAAGTTCTGTTATTTGGAGGCTTTTTTTTTTTTTGGCGCAAATAATCACGCGGACGGGGGGAGGATTTGGTCGCTGGGCGGAGTAATTGCGGCTGTAATTCTTTTTTCCTCCCACTCTTTTCCCACCGGTAGAGACATGGCAAGAAAGCCAAACGACTAAAGTTTGTCTTTTTTTTTCTTTTCTCTCTCTCTCGCTCTCTCTTTGTGTGTGTTCTCTCCGCTTACTGTTGGTTGTTGCGTACAAATCTGTTCCTTTTTACCCCTTTTTGCTGCTCCAAGGGGATTTGATCATCGGCTGATTCACTTCATCAGGCCCTCATTTTGTTTTTCCCTTTCTTAACGTGTATGGTTTTCCTCTTCTATTCCTTTGTCTTTCTTTCTCTCCCTCCCTGACACACCCACACATGCTGGAATGTGCGATTTTCATATGTCGTGCCAGTGGCTGGCGGGGTGTGGGGGAAATGGGCCGCCGGATTCGGTACAGTCGGCCAAAGGCTGCCCTGCCAGAGAAGCTGCTGGAATTTCTTTGCAGCCGCTTCTCTTACCTCTCACGGGATGAATGGATTAAACATCTGGCGGCGGGGCACCTCTCGGTTGTCAGCGCCAGCGACAGTAATGCCGTAACAACCTCCGGAGAATACGTATTGCGCCAAAATGACGAGATTTATTTTAATCCACCACGCGAACTTGAGCCAGACGTTGACGAATACATTCATGTTGTGCACGACGACGACGCCGTTATTGTGTGTGTCAAGAACGGCAATCTTCCGGTGGCAGAAGGAGGACGCTATTCCGGCAACACGCTGGTAGGCCTTCTTGAGCGACGCGACGCGGTGTCCTTTGTTTCTGAGAAGTATTCGGCGGCGCGTCAAAAAATGGATCAAACGAGGGAGGAGGACGGGGATGCGGGGGTCTCAGTGCATAAAGTGCCCGCATCGTATTATCCCATTCACCGCCTGGACAAGGAGACGACTGGATTAGTTGTGTTGGCGAAGCAGTTGGCGGCGGCAAGAGCCCTCTCCAGACAGTTTGAGAAGCAGTCTGAGCGAATCACGGCGCAAGTTTCAAAGCGGACGGACCCTGCTGGAGACGGACTTAGTACAGCGGTCTTTGAGAAACTTCTGGCGGAAGAGAAAGTTGTTACCAAAGTATATGTTGCTGTGTTGGCTGGTGCAGGTCCTGAAGGGGCCGATTTCGTCATGTGCGACCGTATTGGTTTGCTTTTTGACAGCCTTTGGAATGAGGGCGACACGGAAGATGCGAAGAAGCACAACAAATTAAAGAAATTGAAGATGGCATGCTTCCCAGTGAATTTAAAGGAAAATCCAAAGCGACACGGTCGCCCAGCAGCCTCTCGGGTTCGTATTCTTAGCAGTGACAAAAAACTCGGCGTCTCGGTTGCACGCGTGGATATTCTCACAGGACGAACACATCAAATACGGATACATTGTGCTCAACTGGGCTACCCCGTGCTTGGCGATAAGTTATACGAGACTACCACACCCGGCGTGGTGGGAGGCTGCTGCGCTGTTCCGGATGACACGTATATTGCGAGAGCGAAGGGAAATGAGGGTTTAGTAAGCGCGGCGGCGCCGCGTTTGCGCGTGAAGCGACATCTTTTGCACGCTGTGGTGCTGTCGTTCCTGCATCCCGTCAGCGGGGAGCGTTTGATGTATTTCGCTGATCCACGTGAGTGGTTTCTTCGTGATGTCATGGAAGAAGAGGGAGCAGAAGGAGATGCGGTAAAAACAACTGCAGGTGGAAGCCGTTCAGCTCTTGAGGCGCTGCGGCAGCTCTTGGACAGGGCGGTGGGTGCGTTGGGACTTTGATGGCGCGTCTTCCTCCCGGACTGCCATCAACATATGGAAATACGAGTGGTGCCAGGGTTAAATCGCCTTGTATTGCCGAGGGAAGCTAAGCGCCAGCGATGTTTCCCTCACTGAATTGTTTTTTCTCTTTTTTTTTTTTAGCGTAAGGCTGACGGAATTGACGAGCGACCGGACCAGCCGCGTCTTGCCGGGGACGCAGTTATAACACCATGAGGTCTGAAGGGCAAGTGTTACCGTACAGCGTGAGCACTACCAATGCCGGAAAATGGGAAGAGGCAATAAAAGAAAAATTTGAGGCTGCGTTTCTCTGAGGAAAGAGAGGGAAGAAGAGAAGGACCATGTGTGCATTGATTCGAATTGCTTTTTTTTTTTTTTTGTATCCCTTGTTTTATTATATATATTTTGCGTCTTTTCCCACAAATAAAAAAAAAACAAAAACTATGAGGGCTGCACGGGGCCCTTCAGAAGGATAGTACGAGTGGACGAGGGAGAGGCATAGCACGACACATAATTCTACACACAGCAAGCTAGTAGCGCGTGATGGCGAGTGGCCCAACGGAGCTTTTAATAGACGAGGAACGTTTCCTCTTGACCGTGGAGGTGCTTCTTGCAAACATTCCCTCCCTTGTCTCAGATCTCAGCTCCGCCAAGTATGCACTGCTTAGTTTCTCCGACAAGTTCCGGAATGAGGTGAGGCAGAAGAGCTCACTAATTCCTGCTGTGAGCGACGCCTATCGCGAGTTTCTTGAGACGCGAGGGAGTCTGCAAGAGGAACAGCGGAAATTGAACGAGCTTGAGACGCAGCTGGTGCGGTCGTCTCCGCCGAATTTTCTCTCAGTGGAGGAGGTTCATTTTGAAGACACGGGCGGCGCACTCCTTGTTGATGAACCCCGGCGCAGTGATGGAGCGGATGCCCAGGAGGAGTCACTCATTGAAGAGAATCTTGTGAAGCCTCACGCTGCATCGG